AAAAAAAAAAAAAAAAAAAACTTCCAAATGGTTTCGGGAACGATAAGAATGGATACTTTCTTTAAAATATGATATCTGAAATTTTTCGCGATTACAGTACTTCTTTTACTTAGTACAAGGAAGTAAAAATGGAATGAAATTCTTCTCTCCCCCCCCATATTTTAACTAATATAATTTGTTTTTTAAAATCAAAATTTTAAACCGGAAATACGAAGACCCTAAAATATTGCAATTTAACGAGTATTTACCATAGCACGTAAATAAATCGGAAATTTAGCTGGCGTATTTGTTGGTTATGTTTTTAATTGGGTAAGATAAATGCATTTGGAGGGAAAGAATATTGTTTGCTTCTCGAAGTTTTGTGAATTGAAGTTAAAGCTGGACGCGCCTGGCATTTGTAGTACATTAACCTCGGTCATTCCTCTATGTTATAGGGCATGATCAGTCAGAAGATCCAGTCATTATTTTTTCTACCGTCTCCTTTCAAGAAGGAAGTACTAACTTCAAATAAGCGAGGAAGAATCAATGAATCTTCAAGGTTGCTTCAATTCAATGGAAAGCTTCACGGCGCGGTATACGCGAATAGTCTGCTATTCAGCAACTGGCTTTCGTAGGAAACTCGCTTGTTTAAAGTTAGAAACAAAAATAGGAGAATGAAGTTTATTCATGAATATGATTTGCTATTTCGACGCCCTTGTTTTTGAGGTACAATATTCGCTATAGAAGTGATTGAGTAAGTTATTTATTGCTGTTTCAAAGGAGCATAGGCTGGGCAAGGTAACGCTATTTTCCGTACACATGTTATATAAAATACACAGAAGAAAGAAAGTCTTATAAAGACACTGCGGTTTCAAATAAACTGAAAAAAAAAATATAAAAAAACCTAATTTAATAGACTTGAAAAATATTTAAATCTACTAGTATGCAACGACGTTTAAACTTTTCATTTTTTTTCTCTGATTAAAATTTAATTATTGCTTATTTCAAGTGAAGAAAATAGCTTTTATTTATATTTCAGTAATTTACCAGTATTTTAGGATGCTGTTTATGAAAATCAGGATCGTATTTACGTTATGCAAGAAAGGAATAACTGATAAACTTACGTACATCCCAATCCGATTGGCCTTCAATAAGAAATCCAGTATGAATCGTCAATTTTTATGCAATTTTATGCGCTGTCTCCTGGCTGGACTATTAATTTGACCTGCTTTTGCTGAATTCAGACATTCTTTTAGAAAATTAGTAATGATGAAATATAAAACAAATATATGTCACTTTTCAGAATTATTTCTTAATGTTATTAAAGTTCTAAATGCTTGCGCTAATGAATTTTATGTTAAGAACATATTACATTGTCTTTAACGAGAAAGATAATAAAAGTCTTTAAATTTTCTAAAAAAATCTGATGTGTACACCACATGACTTCCTTGTACGGAATATAAATTACACGCATTTTTTCTTGCATGTCATTTAAACTTATTGGATTGAATTAAATCTACTTCGCTGACAGCGCATAAACCACAATAGAATAAATGCATTCTTTAAAATTCACTCTAGTATTCGTTTACCATAGCGACACTCTGGCGCTAGATTCACTTAACAGTATTATATATCGTTCATATTATAACTCAGAATGCACAAAATTTATATCATTTAAAGAATAGAATTATCTAATCGTTGCAACATGTTCTATTCATATACTATAATAAATAATAAAGCTAGAATGATGTATAAAAGAAATTAAGCAAACAAAACAAAAAAGAAACAGTTTTTCCCAGACGATTGAGTATTTCTCATTCAATTAGTTCAGTTCTCACTTCGCGAGAAGGCAAAAATACATAAAAACTCAAAATATCTATGTTAAAAATTACGAAGTAAATCTTAAACACTTATGTCCTCGAAAAAATTCCAGAAAGGATTAAGCATGATTTAATTGGCAATAATAAATGTTATCTCTGATGTTGGAAGCTAAGTTTCTCTAGATTGGCAACAAATCCGCTAGTCTGCTGTTTCAAATGTAAACAATCAACGGCCGCCATAAAAAAAAAAAAAAGGCTTAGCGGCACTTAAACAACTTTAAAATTGTTGATAATTCTAAAAATATTGTATACAGATTTACTAAAGGCATAAAAACCTTAACCGGAAGATAAAAACAACATAATTCAATCATTTTGAAAGCAAAAAAAATGTACAATTTACAAACATATACGAGTAAAGAAATAGATCACTGAGCCGGGTAACGAAGTGGATATATATATAAATATATTTATATACGTTTGGTGCGGCCGATTGCAACCAAAATATGAGGTGCACATCTACATGTTATAGCAGTCCTATATACAAAATTTCAACGTTCTGAGGCTACTCGTTTTTTAGTTATGCCAGATACGTACGTACATACGTTCGTACAGACGCCACGAAAAATCCTCTTCAGAATTGATTTTAAAGCAGTTTTATAATTTTTTTTTTGGAAGAAATGAGTCTTTTATTCTGTCCTTACGTACATATATCACGCAAAAACCGTCGTTAAATTGCATTCGATAGCGGTCAAAATGGATATTTTCGTTGAAATATGCTGCCTGAAACTTTTCGCGATTACAATACTTCCTTTTTACTTCGTACAAGGAAGTAAAAAAGAGGAAAGAGTTGTATAGCAAACCGAGAATGCAATTGTTTATGCTGGAAGGAAATGCTTTCTTTTCAATCACTAATGTTTTGACATTTTGAAAACTAATATACAGAATAAAACCGCTCCACAAGCAGTCAATTATTCTGTTGTTTTTTAAATATTGTTTTTTTTACATATTTCGAAAAACATTGTAAAAATTGTTTTCGACGAGCAACAGGCAGAGGGAAGAATAATATATTAAAAAATGATTACAAAATTTAATTCATGCTTGATAACACCAGTTACTTATGTGGACGATATAGAAGAAGATATTGCTCGTTCATAAAAAGTCAAGCTAAAAAAAACAACTGCTTTCACAGTAATGTTACCTAGCACAGTTAACGTAATGATAAATCTATATAAAACAATATCGCCTTTACATGCACCAGCAAATATCCTTTTTTAACTTTAAATCTATTAACAAATAAAATGCGAAATGGGAAAGAATTTTTTTTCTTTTTAAATGAAGCCCATTGTTTACCCGTATAACAAACTGAGCGATTTAAAAACAGTATATGCACTTAACAATTTTATGTTCATTTGATTCTTATATCTTTGAAACTATAGAAATATTTTGTTTATTATTTTATAAAAGATGAGTGATATGAAAACAACACTTCTTAGTAATTTATATAAATATAAGCAAAAATCGTGTTTTATCTTTAATTGATAAATTGGATCTTTTTTATTGTAGAATAAACACGAGCAAAAAAAAAATTGCTTTAGATATATGAATAAACTTGAAACTTTCAGCGAAAAACATACTTTCGTTACCAGCTCTTTTGGAATCTAATAAAGTTTTTTTTTTTTTTTTTTTTTTTTTTTTTTTTTTAATGTAAGAAATTAGAATAATTGTTTGAATAAACAAATGAACATAGAGTGAATATTTTGGTAAAAGTATAGTTTAGGGTACCCCTTGGCGAAACTTGGCGATTTTTGGCGGTACATGGATACCGATTTTGTGCAATGCTTTGACTCGTTATTTTGGCATGCGAAGCGACGATTTTTGCGTCAAACAAAGCCGCTACACAAATCCAAAATAACAAGACAAACAATTGCACAAACTCGGTATCCATGTACACATCGACTCATTTTCACTTAAAAATAAAACATCTCAGAATTGCACAAAAATCGCATTGCGCACTCTGTTAACTTTATTCCATGTACACATCGACCTACTTTCACTTAAAAAAAATCCCAGAACAGCAAAAACTGGCATTGACAAAAATCCAATTCTTCTTACTTTGTCCATGTACAATCGTTATATTTCACTTAAAAAGTCAAAGGAGCACCAAAGTCTACAATATAGGCAAACAAAAAATACATAATCTCAATAAAATACATTTTAAATCAAACAATAAAATAACATAAAAAAGGAAAAACATGTTATACATGTAAGCACTACCAAAAGTAAATATTCGCTTACCATGATTTTAGAGTTCGCTTCGTACACTCAGAGCCACGTAAAAATCAAAATATCAATCATACTCAAATGACTTTTTTCAAACCAGGTACTCTTTTTGATCGAACGCTTTGCATAAGGACTATCTGAACTTTTCTTCCTTCAAATCCATCTAAACGGTTTTAACACACACCACAAAAACGCTTACAAAATATCCCATGATTCAAAATTTCCCAGAATCATGCACCCGATTACGTCACAATAGGGTTTCCATAACATTTAACTACTCAGGCTACCATAATTGAAACAACAACTTGGCGATAAATCAAACAACAACTTCGCCATAATACAAGGGGTACCTTAAAGTCTACTCTACCTAATATTTTAAATATATTTCATTGGCAACATTTATTTTCCAAGCAAGAACTTTACAATAAAAGAATAACATATCGGTAAAATCCTAGTATACGGTGCAGCCTTGGCGCGACTTTGAAAATTATCGCCAACACCAAAAATGATCCAAAGAACGTCTATATATATATTATAACACATAGTATATGTATATACCCACATAGTATATACTATGTTTAACTATATATTTTCTTTGAATGACCCGTTAACTACTCATCGTATCTGTCCCGTTTTCACTGCTCATCATAAAGTCGCCCAAAGTAGTCAAATCCCGTGTGCACATGATACTAGGATTAAACCAACATAGTATCCGATCTAACGATGAGCAGCAAGAAGTATTAGTATGAGCATTTTCGTGCAGAAAAATATTTGGCGCATGTTATCTAATAACAAAAAAGTGATTAAGTAAATTATTTATTGCTTAGTTTACTTAAATGAATGACATTAACCATAAAATTCCTTTCTAACGCCTCTTCCCACATGAAGCAGATAATTTTCGAATATAAATCTTGTACTTACATATTTTCTCGTCAACTGTGAAATGGCTTCTTGTCGATTCTAAAGGCTGGCGGAGATTCAAGCAAACTTGCGCAATCATTCCGGCGGAATTTTGAAGGAACAAGTGGATTTCCTGTTCAATTAAATACAGATTACTCAATACATAATTTAATTACATAAATCAACACATACAAATTACGGGTACAGCACATAAAAAAATTGGTACTCTTCCCTATTATCAGGACGAGATTCAGAAGTGTATGTATATATGCACATGTGTACAGTGGTGGCCAAAATTGTGGACACTTTTGGAAATTTTTATGTTTTTGATCTTTGTATGCTTATAGAAAAAGTTACGTTTCACAAAAGGCAAACTTGTATATATCATTTTAAAGAGAATTTGTTACTGAATTCAATACAAAACAGAAAGTTCAATAATTTGCAATACAAAAAATATTAAACGATAGTAGTTATCGATATACATTAGATAGTGATGATTGCAGTGAGTTATCAGTACTTAGTAGGGTACTCTTTATTTTTGATTACAGCTTCACATCGACGTTTCATTGAGCTGACAAGAGTTTTAAGCTCTTCTTTCGTTATTACATGATTGCCAGGAAACAATTATAGCCTCGATTTGTTCCCTTTTATTTGATGAGCACCTCATTCGGACAAGAGTTTTCGAACGGTGCCACAAATTTTCGATAGGATTGAGGTCAGGACTGTTTCCTGGCCATGACAACAATTTAATGCTCTTTGCACGAAACCACTCTTGCGATATTTTGGCCGTGTGGCAAGGAGCAGAATCCTGCTGAAAAATAAACGAAGCATTGTTGGGAAAGAGATCTCTGATGGAAGGTAGAAGTTTTGGTTCTAGAATAGTGTCGTATTTTCTGGCATTCAGTGTCCCATCGATGACACGAAGGCGACCAATACCATCTGCTGACATGCATGACCGAATCATAACACTAACTGGGTTCTTCACAGTTGCTTGAATGCAGTCAGATGTAGCTCTTCTCCTTATTCTACGTCTTACATATTTTCGCCCATCACTACCGCATAACGATATCTTAGTTTCATCACTCCATATAACTTGTGACCACTGATCGTCTTTGCAAATAATGTGTTCCTTTGCCCACTGTAGTCTTTTTTTTTTTTTTTTCGTTGCTGAAAATTAAGATAAGGCTTTTTTCGTGGAATTCTACCTCTCAGTCCAACATCTGTTAATCTTCCCTGATTGTTCTTGAACTGACAGAACACAGCATCATTCAGATCACTTCTGATGGCCGCTGATGGCATTTTTCTATCTTGGAGACATAGTCGTTTTATTCTTCTGTCATCAATAGATATGTGCACCTTTTAGGCCTTTTCCTTCTTTGTTTTATTGAATTGTCTCCTGATATCGTAAACAAATTTTCGGACTCCAGATTTAGTCACTGAACCACCCACCTGTCTTGCAATTTCAGCATAGGAAAAGACCACTTTTCTTAACACAATAATATTACATCTCTTTCTAGGTGTCCAATCTACTCTTTTATTTGATGTCATTGCTTCTTAACTAAATATTAAAATTTTTTACAAAAATTCCTACTTGTAATTGCAGTGTATAAGAAACAGGTCCCCCTTCTACAGAACAACGCAAAATAATGAACTGTTTCAAGTGTAAACATGATGTCAGCTTCTACTGGCAGTTATTAACATTTGATTGGTTCTCAGAACAAGAACAGTGATTGGCTAGGAAAGCTAGACATTACAAACCACTCCATAACTGTGTTTTTTTTATTTATATTAAAGTACATATAACTTTTTTGTATTGCAAATAATTGAATTTTGTGTTTTTTATTGATTTCAGTAATAAATTCTCTTTAAAGTGATATATAAAAGTTTGCATTTTGCGAAACGTAACATTTTCTATAAGCATACAAAGTTCAAATACATAAAAATTTCCAAAAGTGTCCACAATTTTGGCCACCACTGTATATATGTGAGTGTACACGCACACATATATACATACATACATGAACACATATATACATGCATACATGAACACATACATCCATCCATACACACATACATAAATTTCTGGATCCGGTCCCGATAACAGAACAGTACCAAAAACTTATTAGCTTTGAGATTATCAGACAAACATATTCATTAAAACGTACACCAGTCATTCAGTCGAACAAAATTCGGCTAATGTTTGGAATATGGTAACAGGTAGTTTGACGACATTTTGGTAAGGCGATAAAGGTTACTAGTTAGGACTTAGCAGTGTACATGGATAAGTGTCATGATTAAGCACTTTTGTTCCGTAAAAGTTCTAGCCTAAGCGTAATTCGGCTAGCAGATTGTTGAAAAAAAATGTTGAGTAAAAAAAAAAAAAAAAAACATGCCTTTACTTCGTGAAAAGAAAATGGCGTCCAAACAAAAACTAGCAGGTTGCTGTAGCAGGGTTGGTCGCCAAATTTTTGCCAAAAAATCGCCAAGTTACCATAATCCAAAGATTAACTCAAAATTCTTTAAAAGCAAGTTGCATACTTCCGTGCGAGCTCATCGAGACTTAATCGGGCTTACATAAAAACAAAGCAAAGATCTTATTGGTGGATTGTGACCTCACACTTATCCATTACTGGTTCTAAATCGTACTTTTTTGTGAGTTTTTAAATTTGTACAATGAAAAAAAATTAACTATGACAAAACAGGCGAAGAAAAATCCATCTAAGGAAAAGGATGCTTTCATAGAGAGCTTTTCATAGAAAACGTTTTTTTAAAGAAAACCACGGAAGCACCATGTAGCCAGTTTTATCGCCAAGTTTCAAACCAGGCTGGGCCATCAGCGGCCGAGCGGTAAATTCACTGAATACTAGTAGTTCTGTCCATAGTTCCTTCCTCGTGGTCCGAATCCTTTCGAACGAATTGGTTGCATGGTCGTTTTCATTGCATCCCTCATGTGTAGCGGCCGAGGGCTAAGACGTCGAATACTTATAATTAGATCCGACTTGAAAATCCGACGAACGGGTTACCTGCATAGGAGTTCACTCGGTTTTTTGGCGAATCTTCGGATTATGGCAACTTGGCGATTTTTTGGCGAAAATTTGGCGACCAACCCTGCTACAGCAATCGCTAGTTTTTTTTTTTTTTTTGGAAGCCATTTTGTTTTTACAAAGTAACGGCATGGCCTTTTTTTTTTTTTTTTTTTTACTCAACATTTTTTCCAACAATGTGCTAGCCGAATTAGGCTTATGCTAGAACTTTTATGGAACAAAAGTGCTTAATCATGACGAAGATTAGGTGCGAAATTGGGAGAAAGTGCTTCGCGCGTTTTTAAGAATTGCACATATACGCGGTATCCATGTACACGTCGATCTATTTTCACTTAAAAAACATCTCAGAATTGCACAAAAATGGCATTGCGCACACTCCTGACTTTATCCATGTGCACATCGACCTATTTTGACTTAAAAAGTGAAAGAAAATTGACAAAAATCCAATTCTTCTTACTCTTGTAAAAAGCGCCAAACAATTAAGTGGGCGATTCTGCACTTTAGCAGCGAAATTGTTTCTAAGTGCTTATTGGCTAAAATCGCGATCGGAATTTTCCGAAAATGTCACATGACATGTCTCATGGTCTCTCATTTCTCTGAGACAAAATAATCTGTGATTCGAACTGTGTGCTTCTCAGATTATTGCTGAAGTCCTACCTAGTAACCTTTATCGCCTTACCAAAATGTCGCCAAATTACCTGTTACCATATTCCAAAGATTAGCCGGTTTTTCTTATGCGTAACTTGAATTTAAGCCGATTTTTCTCAAAATGTCTTCCACAAAGGCATCCTTTCCCTTAAACAGATAGTTTTCGTGTGCTTTGTTCTAATCCAAATAATCCAGTCCATCCATCCAAATTGGGTTAAAATAAACTGCCTTCAGGTTAAAATTCCGTGCGATAGCTTGTTTTGTAATTATACAAGTCTTTTGTAGACTACAATTAGCATACTTCATTGAGCATAACACTTGCACTAGCAGAAGGCGTTTTCTATCACATTTTAAATGTATCATTTATGTAACAGAAGCAACTCACTTTCGAGGTAGCTTATCGTTTATTATGATATTCTGGAAAATACTGACAAAGCAGAATATGTTTTACTACTTGAAGTCCAAAAACTGTAATTAAGAGTAACTAAGATTTTTACATGAGGCAGTTTTATAAGTTAACATGTTTTTACATGAGGTAGTTTTTTTTCCTGTGGTAGATATTATTTACTGCGTGAAACAATAACTTATATTTTTGGATAATAAAAAAATTCACTATCATCATAGCCAGAGTGGATCTGATGAACACACGGACATTTCGACTGCACTTTGAATCCTAGAAAATGAGTTCGCTATATGGAGATTACATAGTTTACCCCATTTGTAAAGTAAATAAAAGCCAGTTTTCTTCAGCATGTCTTCTGTAAAGGCATGCCTACTCATCAACCTACCGTTCTCTCGCGTTTTGCTATAATTATTTCAACAAATAAACACTCCATAAAATATTTAAGAGAAACGGCACCAAAGGATGCTAATCTAATATTTTGGCTACTCAGAAATTTTTTTAATATATTACCCAGCTTTTCATGCGTAATTTGGAGAATTATTTTCACATTGTGAATGTATTTATGCACATAATAATAACAAAAATATAAATTAACTTTCGTTGAATTTTATTGTCATTTGAAAATTCTTCTTCGGGTAAGATTTATGAATGATTGCTTCATTTTGAGAAATTTACTTTTAAACATTCAAGTTAATACTTTTTTCAAAATTTCTTATTAGTTTATTTCTAGGTAAGAGAAGAATAACTGAATTAAGTAGAAAATGAGCAGACTTTTCTTATTCACGAAAAGGCCAGATCATATTTGCGACCACCGAACGGACTGGCTGCATAGTGTTTTCATTGTTTTCTTCATCTGTAAGCTTTGCCATATCAAAATAATTTTCATTAAACTCAGATTTTCATAATTTAACAAGAGTTTCTTTTAAAAAGCAAAATGAAAACAGGAAAACTATACGTAATTTACGATGAAGGGTTAGATTCGGATTATTCCGAAATTCTCGTAACAAAGCACTAAACATTATCATTGGTAAAAGTGAAA